ATTCTCTTTTTTTTTTTTTTTTTTTTTTTTTTTTTTTTTTTTTTTGAGACAGGGTCTATGTAGCCTTGGCTGTCCTGGTACTCTCCTATGTAGACCAGGCTGGCCTGGACCCACCTATCTCTTCTTCCTGAGTGCTATGATTCAAGGCATGTGCTACTATGCCTGGCTAGTCCTAGTGCTTTTGATGCTGAGATAGAAAGGTTTAAAAAAAAAAAAAAGATTAAGGCCAGCCTGGGCTGCAGATGAGACTCTGTGTCAAAACAACAATCATACAAACAAAAAAAAAAGAGAGAGAGAGAAATGAAATGACATAATACACTGTTTCTGCATGTGTTAGTCTGTGTTCTGCCCATCCCCCCATCCATATCTCCAGCATGAATGTGTTTGGAGACAGGCCCTTTAATGATAATAATCAAGGTTAAGGGGAGTCATTGTGGTGCCCTGACCCACATGACTCATGACAGAGGAAGTCACCTAGAAATGTACATGCTCATAAAGAAGGTCAAGTGAGAGACAGGTGGATCTCTGGGAGTCTGAAGCCAGCCTGGTTTACAGAGTGAGTTCCAGGCCAGCCAGGGCTACATGATGAGAGTCTATCTCAAAAAACAAAACAAAACAACAACAAACAGTCCCTCCCCCACCCCCCAAAAAAAACAAATTAAAAAAAAAGGAAGAATGACAACCAAGGTATTTGAGTTGGATTAAATGTTATTGACTAAGATAAAGGGCAGGGGGAATGGACCTGGCAGGTAGTGGTCTGTAGACACTTTCTTTTTTTACTCTGTGAGGCTGCTGAAGATTTTTGGCATCTGTGAAGCAGCAATCCAGGTGTAGGAAAACCCACAGATACCAAAAATAAATAAATAAATAAATAAATAAATAAACCCAACACACAAGGATATGTGTACAATATTATTGCAGGTTTATGTGTTTTGGCAAAACCCTGAATATAACCTGGTTACTCTCAGGAGGAGGACACCAGTACTCACAATGACCCACTCAACCTGTGGTATTAGAACGAACAGGGGAGTTCATGTGAGAAAATTATGGAGTACAATGGGCTTTGAGTAATGGTTGGTTAATAAGAAGTAAAAAAGAATTTCTTAAAATTCATTTTGGTGTGTATATGGGTGTGGCCTTAGGTGTCATCATTCCTTAAGTGCCATCTTGGTTTTGAGGCAGGGTGTCATTGGGACCTGTGCTCCCTGGTTAAGGTAGGTGGTTTGGTTAGAGAGCCTGGTAGATAGTCCTGTCTACTCACCCAATGCTTGGATTGAAGGCATTCTCCAACATGTCCACACCTTTTTACCTGAGGGCAGAGGATGCCACTAGGGGACTTGTTTTGGCATAGTAAGCAGTTTAGAAGTAAGGAAAGTTCTAAGGACTACACAAAAGGTCACCAACCCTCTGAAACAGCATCTGAGAAAGAACTCTCTGTTCCCACAGCTGAGATCCAGACTTTGTTGGAGGTGATGGGACTATCTATAGGTCACTGCTGAGTAACAGAGTAATCAATGGAACTCCTTGAAATCTGCCTGCTAGGGTGCTAGAGGCAGACTCATTGTGCTCTCTCCTACAGAGCTTCCTGAGGATGCAGGAGGAGGCTTTGAAGGGTAAAGCTGGTTCTGCTGCTGCCCCACACTGCAGGAGCCAGAGCCCCAGAGGCTAAGCTGACAGTGGGGTCTGTCCAGGGCGGGTGGTGATGGTGGTGGTGGTGGTGGGGTGGGTACGCAGGATCTAGGACTTAAAATACGGGTTCTTTTTTAGTTTCTCTGGCGCCCTCTAATGACAGAACTTTATCACTGCAAAGGAAACATATTTAAAGGGCCCGGAACGTTTTCCATTGAGCTGTCAATGGAGCTGAGAAAATCGATAACTGAACTGGTAAGGTTCTACTTACAAGGAAACATCACAGGTTATTTGTAATGCCTAAGAACTAGAAATGACCTGGTGTCCTTAAAATAATAATGGCCGATCAAGACCACGGAGCACTCATTCCATGAGACGCGGTGGCAGACACTTTAAAATGTGTCAGCAGCTCATACCTGTAATCCCAGCACTCCGAGGCAGGGGTATCTCTGTGAGTTGATGTTAGCTTGGTTCTGGGTTACAATGTGGGACTCTGAAAAAGAAAACACAACACCCTCAACAAAACAGAAAGAACAAAAAATAACATGAAGTAATAGATCTATATCCACTATTCTGGAGGGAGTGTTAGGATCATTGGCTTTTTTTTTTTTTTTTTTTTTTTAAAGATAGGGTCTCATGCAGACCATTTGGCCTTTAACTCACTATGTAACAAAGGCTGACTTGGCTATACTTTAACTTCGGATCATGGTGACTAAGGGCTTTTTAGAGAAAAGCTCATAATTTGTTTGTGAAGTGGAAAAGGACAGAAGAAAATATCAGGTGGGGTTAAAATATCTCCAAGTGGGGCTGGAGAGACAGCTTAATGATGGCCAGCCCTTGCTGCTCTTGAAGAGGACCCAATTTCAATTCCAAGCTCCCTCAAGGAGGTTTATAACCACCTGTAACTACAGTTCCAGGGATCTTTTGCCCTCTTCTGGCCTCCGAGGGCACCAGGCATACACAGTACACTTATATGCAGGCAAAACACTTATACATATAAAATAAAAATAAAGTTAAAAAAAAATCTCTAACGGAGGCTGGAAGAAGAGCTCCAAGGTCTAGCACTTGCCCAGCATGCACCAGGCCCTAGGTTTAACCGCGAGAACTGCAAACAACCTCTGACAAAAACAGAGAGAAAAGAATGGCAAAATAAGATGAAAAAAATTTAAACTTACTTGTTGCTTCTTCCCCCACTCCCTCTCTCAGAAAGAGTCTTGCTGGCCATGAATTTTTTACATCTGTGCCTCAATCCCCCTAGGGTTGAGATTACCTGGGTATGCCACATGCCCACGTGCCTTGTGTTTTTTGTTTGCTTGTTTATTTTATGTTGATGTGGATTAAACTCAGGGTCTTCCATGCTAGGCAAGTGCTCTAAAACTGAGCTACACCCCAGGCAACTGCTATTCTATATACCAGTCCTTAGCTAGGGCAAGGACTTCAGCCATTCCAGGTAGCAAGTAGAGTCAAGGCTGGCAAATAGGCAGGAAGAAGTGCTTTAAGTAAATCAATAAATCAATCTACAATGATTGGCCTTTTCTACCTTATTCTACTTCACAACATGGGTACTAGGAAGTGAACTCAGGTCCTCTGCCAGACCAGTAAGCACACCGAACCACTGAGCCTCTCTTACATTGTGTTATCACAGACAAAACACAAAGACAATATACCCCAGCAGGTGAATCAAGTCAGGACCTTGATCGTGCCCTGTAACCTTTGTTCTGCTCATGACCCATCTCTGAAAGGACAACATTATCTAACAGTGCACACCAGTTCTGCTTATTCTGAATTCAAGTAAATGGGCCCACATAGCACTCAGTTTTGTTGCTCTGTTCACTCGGTGTCATTTTTGTGAGGTTTGTTTATGTTTCTGTGGGTAATAGTTTATTCTCATTGTTGTGTACTAGTTGAATGGATACACTATACTTTACTCCCTGTTTACTGACGTGTGTGTTGTTTGAAAGAACATGGGCTTACCTCTGACATACTGTGATCACTTTTATTTTATTTTTAAAGATTTATGTATTTATGTATTTATGTATTTATGTATTTATTTATTTATTATGTATAGTGTTCTTCTTGCATGTATGCCTCAGGCCAGAAGAGGACACCAGATCTCATTATAGATGGTTGTGAGCCAACATGTGGTTGCGGGAATTTGAACTTAGGAGTCTGGAAGAGCAGCCAGTGCTCTTAACTTCTGAGCCATCACTCAATTCTTGGTGATCACTTTTAAAAGGCCATATACTGCAGCCTTCCTGCAGCTCTTTCTGGCATGGAGGGTTCCTGCATCCTTCAAGGCTTCAAGGGGATAAGTAAGGACAGACACACAGACACTTGCAGAAAGGATGGGGTCAGGTAGGAGTGTGCTCACTCTGATAAAGTGGCACCCACTGTCATGCAACCCAGCATGTCAGCATGTGGGAAGGGGGTTAGCTAGTCTCGGTAGGAGGTATCTGTAGATGAGCAGTTCCAGACTGAAAACATCAGAGAGCACAAAGCTATAATGGGTAGTTTTTGTGCATACTGGCCACCCCCTCACACTAGGGCCACAGAGGAAGGCTTTGCCATCCTCCTGAGCCTTACCTGGAAAATGCGTTGGCATTGGAGTCCTGAGGTACCCATGTCAGCAATACACATTCACTCACTCCGGACTTCCTTTGCTCCCTACAGAGGATTGTGAAGCTGTCTGCACCATGGCCTAGCAGCTGCAGCCCCTGACGTGTGGTCCTAATGAGTACCTGCTCTTCAGTGCTCCTGGTCACATATGAAAATCATGTGATATAAAACTTCTGCCATAAAAAAAAAAAGCCAGGCATTGGTGGTGCACATCTTTAATCCCAGCACTCTGGAGGCAGAGGCAGGCAGATCTTTGTGAGTTCCAGACCAGCCTGGTCTACAAGAGCTAGTTCCAGGACAGCCTCCAAAGCCACAGAGAAACCCTGTCTAAAAAAAACAAAACAACCCCCAAAACAAAACAAAACAAAAACCAACAAAACAAAAAAATCCAAAAACTTCTGCCACTCCTAAAAGGTTATGAAAAGCCAAATTTCTCCTTTGTTCTGGGATTGGTTTGGAGACTCCTCAGGTGAGTTTTGCTCAGGTATTTGCTTAGAAGGGTGTTCTCTAGAGAGGCTCCCCTGCCCTACCACTCTATACCCCTCTTGGTCTCTGTCTTCTTATGGCTCTCATTCTCATGTAGCCTGGCTGTCCTGGAACTCACTCTGTAGACCAGTCTGGGCTCACAGATATCCTTCTGCCTCTGCCTCCCAGTTGCTGGGATTAAAGGTGTGCTCCACCAACACCTGGTTCATTCTCATTCTCAATGAAACTCCTCTCCAGGTTTTAAAGTCCTGCCACCTCTTCTCCCTAAAGCCCAATCATGTTTAGATCTACATATTGTTTCTGTATAATTCTGTCCCTCCCTCCGTCATGGCCGGGGGTCCTTTCCTCTAATAAATGGCATTCTTCTAGAGGAAATCACATGTCATTTTCCTTTTCGGACCAAGCACAGTTGTTCCCCTTTCATTGTATGTATCATGTAACAGTTTCTAGTACAGATTCATTATGAACTGTGTTGCTATGGATCTTCTAGAAGAGGTGGTTTTGGGCAGGGAGAGGTCTGATAACGGGAGCTTGATGCCCAGACCCCATGTGAAAACCTGGATACAAAGCATATATCTGTAATCCCAGTACTACGGTGTGCATGATGGGAGCTGAGGAAGAGACAAAAGCTTAAGTGCCAGATTGGCCGGAGGGGCAGCCTAGAGAAGCCCACTCACATCATCACCTGGCCCTGTGCCCAAACTCCTCCCAGCATGAAGGATTTTTTTTCTCTCTTGCTAGTGATGGAACCCCGGGTGTATGTAAGTGCTCTACAATGAGCTATACCCCAGTCCCCCATCTTGTGTTAAAACAACTTCCCATGAGTCTGGGAAGATGGCTCAGTTAGTGAAATGTTTGTTACACATGAGAACATGAGTCTGAACCCTAGAACCCAACTAAAGAGTTAGGCACCTGATGGGGAGGCTAAGCCAGGCAGAAAGAACCGTCGGGCTCACTGGCTCATCAGGTTAGTCTGATCAGTGGTTTCCAGGGTAGTTAGAGATGCTAAAAACAAGGTGTACTAACAGGAATCATCAACAACAAAACAGCCTGCTGTTGCTCTTTTTCTTGCTCCTAGAGCAGTGCTCTGAGCCCCCAGTTCTGCTGCCATAATTTATAGACACCTGGCAGTTTCCTGTCTCACAGTCTCAGTCCCAGGTGAAACGGCCCTCTTCCACTGACTTCCCCTCCTCCAAGTGCTGAGTCATGAGAGTTCCCCCTTGAAACAGAGGTGTTAAGGGCCATGGGCCCTAACTATGGGGTTTAAAAGCCCATCTTTGTAAGTCCTTTTATGACCTTTAAGTTTTCGGCTTAAAGCCGACTCTGTGAGCCTCATGTGACCCATAATTAGGTAAGTTTGGCCAAGCGGGACTGACAACGACTGCGTTCCTAGAAAAGGCGTGGGCCTTTCTGCCTGCTGTTTTGAAGATACCGCAAGAATGTCCCAGCAAATACCAGATGTTCCTTCCTGCTTTCCCCCTCCTGCCTAATTTCCTTGTTGCAGGGCTATATAAGCCCACTCTGAACCCCAATAAATGGAGACCTTGACAATTGCACAGATGGACTCTGGTCCCCTCTTTTGCGTCGCTTGATCTCCTTCCTTCTCTCGCCCATGACTCTTTCAGGCAGCCCCCTTCGGAACCCTGAATGACTGACCGGAGGGATGGGTCACAGAGGCCACAAAGGACAGCTGTTATTTTGATCCAGGAGATGTTGGGGGTCCCCCTTTGGGGTTTAGTCTTATTGGTAAAACAACTTGAGAATGGGACCTGAAGAGATGATGGCTCAGTTATTAAGAGTACTGTTGCTTGGTTCAATTCCCAGCATCTATAACCACAGTTCCAGACACTCTCTTCTGGCCTCTTAGGACACCAGGCACACAGTGGTGCAAGGACATACATTCAGGCCAAAAAATATATAAATAAATATTAAAAAATAATTTAAGTTGGATGATAGTGGCACACTCCTTTAATCCCAGTACCCAGGAAGCAGAGGCAGGTGGATCTCTGTGAATGTGAGACCAACCTGGTCTACAGAGTGAGTTCCAGGACAGCCAAAGCAATACAGAGAAATCCTGTTTTGAAAAGACAATTTTTTAAAAAAAGGCTTTAATAGAGTCAAATCAAAACTAAAGAGCGATTTTATTATTTTAAAATAACGCCAGAGCAGGCAAGCTGCAAACTTTAACAGTCATTTGGAGATGGGGGAAAGGATGGAAACAGCCATGCCTTTTAACCTGACACAGAGGTCCGACAGGCATCTTATAGACTACAGCCACAGGGCAGGCAGGGAGGCACTGGAGAGATAGTGGGGGAGCCCAAAATGTTGGGGGGGGATCACCAAGTGTTGAGGAAGGCATGCTTAGGAAAGAGAAAAAAGAAATGGAAAGGT